AGCTCTGCAGACAGAGGAATGCGAGAGGCTGATGACAGCCAGGGAAAGGAATGCTAGCCATGCAAAAAATGTCCCGGAAAATGTCCCGAAATGCTGCTCAGGCGGGGCTGGCTGGGGCTTTGCATCCCACCCGGTCTCTTTCTACCTAGGCATTATTGCATGATTGCCTTTGTCCAGATCTCCTCACTTGCACGGTGTTATTTCCTTGCTGGAGTGTTTTGGCAGGTTGACCACACCCGCCCCTGAGTCAAAAATGAGAGCAGGAGAGCACGGACCATGTGACACAGGAGCGCAGAGACTGAGTTACAAATCAGCAAGTCCTGGGTTTGAATGTCACCTCTTCCTTGAGGCTGAGGCACCCCCCCTCTTTCAGCCTCAGTCCCTGTAATTACTAAGGTGTTTTCCTCAGGGGGGCAGGCTTGCATGTGTGTCCCAACTAACACTGCCTGGTTACATGGTCCTCCACCATCTCTGCTCAGCTGGCCAGAGGGGAGGCATGGCTATTATCCACCAGGAGTCTTTCAACTTCTGCAGACTTCCAGTGCAAATTATCACTTGCTTTGACTGTATTCTCCTTGCATTAGGAACTAAGGATAGATTAGGCATCCGTCTTGTCTACTGGCCACCTAGTTCCTGAGTGGGCAGCCTCTATGAGTTGGCAGAGGTACTGTCGGATGTGGTGCTGGAGACTGCTAGACTGATCGTCCTGGGAGACTTCAACATTTATGCTGACAAAACCTCGCTAGGACCAGCCCAGGATTTTATAGCTTCTTTGACTGCCTTGGGTCTCTCCCAAATCATGACTGGCTGAACATGTGAAAGAGGTCACACCCTGGTCTTAATCTTTTGCACTGAGTCTTTGAGGGAAGGTTTGGTTTCAGGGCTGGAGATTTGCCCTGAGCCATGGTCTTACCACTACCTGCTGAAAGCCAAGGTAAATGTGGCTCCAACACCCTGCATGGGGGGCGGGGCGGTTAGAATGATCTGCCCTTGGAGGCTCATGAATCCTACTGGATTTCAGAATGCTCTGGGGGATTTTAGGATTCCAGGCATGTGTTCTGTTGAGTCCACAGCGGAAGCATGGAAGGCGAAGCTCCTTGAAGCTTGGTGAAATCCAGCTCCCTGGTTAGCCACTCGGCTTGGTAAGGTGAGAGGGGTTGGGAGATGTCTCGAACAGTGCCGGTGAGGAAATTGCATGGAGTCTGACTGATTATGCTGTAGACTCATTGTAAGACATACAAAGTTATCATGATGGTGGCAAAGAAAGGTTACTTTCCTACTATTATAGCATCAGCGAGTCCACGTCCATCCCAGTTGTTCAAGATAGCTCAGCATCCACTGCTGCCTAAATCTGAGCTTTTATAATGAGCTGTGATATTTTTGCCAAGTTTCTTGCTGATAAAATATCAAGGATATGCTCTGATATGGATGTCAGTTGTAACACAGGGTACACTGGAAGAAAGGCCTAATACAACGCCTTGTCTATTTATGGATCGTTTTGACCCAGATTCCATGATGGATGTCGACAAGATCCTGGGATCTGTGGATCCTTGCCCATCCTGGCTTCTAAAATCATGTAAGGACCACATCAACAAACCTTTAGTATCTGTTATAAATCAGTCATTAACCCAGGGCACCTTCATTGCCTAATCAAAGTGGCAGTTATCCGCCCACTACTTAAAAAAACATCCCTACAGAAAAATGATGTGGCCAATTATTATCGCCCAGTCTCTAACCTACCCTTTCTGGGCAAAGTGACGGAGAGAGCAGTAGCGGACCAATTCCACGTCTTCTTGGATAACATAACTGCTCTGGACCCTTTCCAGTCTGGCTTCAGGCCAGGCTGTGGATCGGAGATGGCTCCGCTAGCTTTGGTCGATGGCCCCTGTCTGAATGTAGACAAAGGCTATGCCTCTCTATTGCTCTTATTGGATTTATCTGTAGCCTTTAATACAGTAGATCATATGCTGTCTTGTTGAGGTGCCTGGGGGCAGAAGTACGCATCAAGAGATGTGCGGTGAACTGGTTCAAATCATTCCTTTTGGATCAGACTCAAAGGGTTGCTATTGGAAACCAGTTGCCGTCAGTGTGGGACCTATCTTGTGGGGTTCCGCAGGGCGCCGTTTTATCCCCCGTGCTTTTCAATGTCTATATAAAGCCCTTAGGACGAATAATTTGTCGTTTTGGAGTTGGTTGTCAGTCATCAGTATGCTGACAATACCCAACTCTATCTATCCTTATCTAAATCTCCCAGTGATGTAATAAAAGATCCTGAATCACTGCTTGGCTGCTGTGGTTAATTGGCTAAAAGTGAACAAGCTGAAGCTAAACCCTGAAAAGGAAAGGTAATGCTGGTTGGGGAGGTCAAGCTCTTGATGGGCATTGTTCTCCCCACTTTTAGTGGAGTTCAGCTGACCCTTGGTGACAGTTAAAACTCTTGAGGTTATACTGGAGCCAACGTTATTATTGGAGATGCAAGTTAATGTGGCTGCAAAAAAGGCTTTCTACCAACTCAGCTCAGCCTGTAAGGTGGCCCCTTGTCTTGATATGGCTGATCTATGGCCACAGTAACATTGAGACTAGGCTACTGTAATGCACTGTACATGGGTCTGCCCTCAAAACTGATTCAGAAACTGCAACTGGTTCAGAATGCCGCTGCTTGGCTATTATCAGAAGTTAGATGGAGCATACATATCACTCCCATTCTACAGACAACTCTGTTGGCTTCCTGTTTGTTACCGAGCTCAAGTTAAGGTATTGGCTGTCACATACAAAGCCTTTCATGGCTGTGGACTCTCTTATCTGCGGGACCACCCTATGCTCCACCACAGTTGCTTCACCCATGTCAGCAGGGGCTTCTGCAGGTGTGAACCTGCAAATGGGCAAATTCAGCAATTGTGCCCATACACATGCTTTCTCCATTGTGACTTTCATTGCAGAGACGTGCCTTTCCCCTTATATCTCCACAGTGAAAGACTTTTTTAAAGTAAGTTGGGAGTTCAGCGAACCTCTCACTATCTTGGAGCTCTGTTGCAAGGATTAAAACAAGATGTGAAGTGGTTTAATAAATAAAACTAGTAGAATTAATGCTATTCCTAAGATAAGCAATTTGACCTAAGGGACTAAAAGAGAAAAGTCTGGCTGCTGCCTTGGTCAGGTATCCTTAGGCAAACCCTCTCTCTTTAAGCTTCAGTCCCACCCACCCCACATACTCTTCCAACCATAGAGATGGTAATATAATAGCTTACTATTTCGTGCTGTTTTAGTTGGCCCTTAACAGTAACTGCAAGCTTTTGAGTTGCCCCAAAACCCTTTGTCAGGCTGGATGAGAAGTACCAAAAGGGGGGGGGGGCTGTGTGTGTGTGTGTCCCAGGCATGTTGGTGAAGCCCCCAAAGCTATGCTTTGTAGTTTCCTCAAAATGGAGACCAGAAGGTCTGGCAGATCTAACCAGTTGTCATGGTGCTGATTGCAAATCAGATTTCAAAGGGCCCTGGAGGCTCCTGGGATGGAACAAGAAAGGGACTAGCCTTTTTCTGTCTTTTGGAAACAGAAGAAACCTCCCAGTCTCTCATTTTAAGAAAGCTACAGATTGCAGGAGCTCTGCAAACATGCCCTAAACATGCCTTCTCCCCCCACCCCCACTTTTTGGATGGATTAAATATACGGTGTGATGAAGAGTCCTCAGGATTTGAAAGCTGATGTTCTGCATTTTGAGATATTTTCAGTGGTCCATCCATCCATCCATCCCCATTGTTTCTCAGTTTTTTAATGTGGCAGTCACAGTTTTTGTCTACCTCCAGGGTTGTTTATAGGAAGACTATAGTCAGATTAAATGCTAAGAACAGTTCTCAGAAAAATGCATTCAGTATTCAGAGCACTTCATATACAACATCCCGTCATAACCTTTACAACAGCCCTGGCCGGTAGGTTGTTACAAACATCCCTGCATTGCAGATGGATGCTGAAAAATAGTGGCTCGTCAAAGGCAAAAGGCGAATTTCAAACCAGGAGCTTCCTGATTCTCATTCTTGCTTATTAGTTTTAATAATATTTCTATTCAGCAGTTTTGTAGGGAAGATGAGTTTGCCTTTCAGGGGAAGGAGCAGGAGCAGTTCAAACTCTGTGATGGAACCAGAAGAGTTCCTTGCCTCTTCTTGGCATCTGGGGTGCCTAATGCCAGGCTGTGCTGTTGGACAGTCGTGGTTGCATTTGTATCCCTGGTTGAACTGTGGTCCCCCAAAGTGGCTTCTACTTCTGGAAGAGAGAGAAGAGCGGAACCTGCACGGCCCTTCCACTCAATCAAAAAGGCACTTTAAGGGCTAACAGAATTAATGGGAATTGGTTTTGTTTCCAGGTGTTGCAAGTCTCCTTTTGGGTTTTACCTAATTCCTGCAGCTTTGTGAAAGTGTGTGTGCCCACTGGTGGAGAGGCCACAGGGTAACTTGCTTAGTTGAGAGCTCCTGTCAGTATCCTAGCGGGAGAGTTCAGTTCCTTTCTACAGATGAGCTCTTCTCACTTTTTTCCCTGTTGAGAAGAAAAGGATTTGGGAGCTTCTGGCTTTTAAGTGCATTGCAGAACCAAGAGTCTCTTCAGAAGCCTGCAACTGGACCCTCTGTTTTTGACAAGCCTGGTCCTAGCATCACCCTTGGTGCAATTGCCAGAACTGGCTGCTGCCTGGCAGGGTTTTTATCCCCCAGCTCTTCCACTGTGAGGATTACATGCTTTTGAATGTTCTGCATTTTCTCCCCAATGGAAACCCAAAGCAACTCTGTTTTCTCACAACAACCCTGTGAGGGAGGTTCGGATAAGCACATTTGACTGGCCGCCCAGGGTCACCCAGCATGCTTCCATGAGCAGAGTGGCGATTTGAACCCAGGTATCCCAGGATCCTTGTCTGACACTCTATCCACTGCCAGCTTTCTTGGTGTTGGGCATGTCCTATGTGAGGGTATTCCTTCCAGACAGAAAGTAATCTTCCCTTCCTTCCTTTTTCTTTCAGGACTATCCCAAGAACAGTGGAAAGAAAGGTATGTATATGTTAAGAGGCTGATTTCCTGTAACTTTTCTTTTGTATTTCCCTGTCTTTCTGTCTTTTTTCCCCATTGTATCTGGGGGGAAACGTTATTTTTCACAACGTGATAATAATTTGGTTTTTCTGCTTACCCATGACTGGTTTAAAAAAGAAGGGGCACCTTGGCCTGCCCTGGAAGCCTGCCTTACCCTTCCATTCTCAGATCTGAATTGCTTAGTTGCGTGTGTGTGTGTGGGGGGAGCACTCTGTACCAGCTCAAGAGCATTCCATGTTGTCATCATCACGTCCCATGTTCCAGAGCCTTTCTGTCAGCCGCTTTGAAGAGTGGAATGAATACAGTGGATGAAGCTGGAAATTCTCTTCCCCTCTTCTCAGCTGGGTAGGCATGGCGAGCATTATCAAGACAGATCCCTCTCCATTAGGCTATCATGCCTTCGGGTGCCCAGCAAAGACTTGTTTTATTTTCAGGTGCTCCTGATTAATCCCTCACTTCGTTTGCTCTGTTTTGGCTTTAAGTATGAGGTCGTCATCAAGCCTTTGTA